AATACTAGTCTGTGGGAGATGGGGAAGCAAGAGGAGTCAGAGAAGCTAGGAGGAGAATCATGATTTGCAGAATCATGGGATTAAAAGAAGAGAAGAGAATTAAACCCTATAGAGAAGGACCTAGAAAAGGACCTGACTATGGCAGAGACAGGCATGAGTGACCTTCAACAGGACAGCTGAGCAACTAGGGCATCCTTCTTCACAGTCTTTGCAGCCTAAGGTAATGTGAGGCTGGTGGGAAAGGCTTGATAGATACTGACTACGTGAATCAGCTGTCACATCTTGGGCTGATTGCCTTCTGTGAAGAGTCCATGGCCACGGTCCACTTCCTGTTGAGCTTAGCCTGATTTCTCTGACTTGAAGTGGTGGTAGGAGGAGCTCACACCAAAAAGCCAAGTTATTTCTTTAACCCTGAACTCTTGGACCTTGAGGATTCATTTACCCTCTTGCCTGTCTTCAGGACATCTAAGCTAGGTAGAAATCTATCTCCATTTTTAACAGCTCCAGAGGCAACAACTTGTGGTAATCTCTTCTACAGTTTCTGAAAACCCTTGCCAAGGTCAACTAGAAAATAGGCCCTTGTAACCCAGAGTTTCTAAAAAGCACACTTGACAAATTGAGTAATGAGTCAACCAATAGGAAAAATAAAGTCAGAGATCGCCCTGCTTCTGGAAAGACTGAGCATGGGGTCATGGGAGGCTGAGAGAGTGGACTGTAAAGGAGGTGCAGAGGCCAGCATCCTGGGGAATGTGCTCTGGGGCTCTAACTTGGGGGAACTGAGGGTCTCTGTCATGCACAAGACCATCAAAAGCATGACGTACAAAGGAGCATTTGTGCTATGCCCTGAGAATAAACCCGAATGAGGTTATTCACAAGGAATGATTGTCATCAACGTCTTGTCATTGAAGTCTTTCCCTTTCTTGGTGCCTAGAGTGGATAACCCTTGAGATGGTATATGGTGCTCAGAGACAAAAGGCATCACTTAACCACCAAGAAGGCTCGTTGTGAGGGAAGACTGGGAGGACAAAGAAGTACCACGCAGAAAGAATTAGGATAAAAATATAAGCTTACTGTTGGTAAGGAGACAGAGCTTACAGTTAAGTTATGGGAAATAATATTTTATCATATTAAAAATAATTTTAATTATTCTAATATTTACTGAGCAGCTCCTAGGCAGGGGGCCCTGGGCTGGGCAACAAGACATGATGCCACATTCCCCGGAGGTGTGAACAGCTTACTGAAGGAGATCTGTGTGAGCATTCAACTGTGACAGCATGAAAGGTGCTAAGAGAGGCAGGCAGGTGATGCTCACAGGGTGGGGACACTCACTACGCCAAGAGAGAAAGAGGAGCTTAGAAGAACAGCACAGAGACATCGTGGCACTTCTGAGGACTTTTATGCGTGCTACACAGAGTAGTCCATTGGCATTTGCAGACTGACTATTCATGGATGAACACAGTCTCCACTGCGTGATCTGAAAGGTCTCTGCCATGAGGTAATTGCTGAGACACAAATCTGAATGGCTTGCCAGGATGCCAGAGTGGACTTGCCAGCCACTTAGCTCGTGAATGGACCACACCCGACGGCTGGCATTCATGTCCCCACACAGCTCAGCTCTTCTCTTCTCCTTGACATCTATGTAGTCACACTCCTACTGCGGCTAACATTTGTTTTTCTTTGCAGAGCCAGGGAAATACAGAATTAAGGAGGTACAGATGTAATGAAGTAAGGAGTTCATTTTAATGGCAAAATTTATTTAAGTCACTTTAGAAATCACCTTGGTCCCCTATTGATAGAACCATTAAGAGTCTAAAAGGATCCCTTACATTTTTCACACTTTACTGCTTTTTATAGTGGAAATGATATGTCGTGGTGACATTCATGATTTTGGAGGCTCATGAAGGTCATGCATGAACCCTTTGAGAATGTCAGGGGTCCAGGTCTGTGAATAATGAGTTATATTTTATTGGTTCTCTACTGGATAAAACAAGGCCTCATTTTAAGTTTGGAAAGAAGGTATATTCTCCTTTATATGCTTTTCCTGCCATTTGGAGTAGGCTGCCATCGCTCTGCCCTGTTTATGAAGGCTTAGCACGTGCTACCAGAAGACGAAGGATGATATTTGTCCACGACACTACAGCCTGACAAGTAACTCAAACCAACAAGGATTAACTACATTCCCCCAATTGAGTGCTTTTCTCTTTGTCTATTTCCTGGAACCCAATAACCACTGAAACCCAAACTCTGGCCCCCTCCCCCAAATACCCTCCACACAGCATGACAACACACAATCTCAATCTGCTTCCAATTCTGTCTCCTTGTTTTGACTACTGCTAAATCAAATGTATTTATTGCTGAAGCCAGGAAATTCAGAGTTGGCCAGACTCTTTCCCCAACATCTAATCAGTTACCAAGTAAATCGATTTTACCTCTTAAATGACTCTCAAACGCAGCCAGGCCTCTCCAGCCCCATGGCACTGCCTTAGCTTGGGGCCAAATCATCTGTCATCACAATACCCTGACCCCCTGCCTCGAAACCATCCTTGCTCTATCCTCCAAAAGGATACCGGGTAATTTTTCTTAAAATGCAAATCTTGCGGGTACCTGGGTGGCTCAGTCGTTAAGCCTTGGGCTCAGGTTATGATCCCAGGGTCCTGGGATCTAGCCTGGAATAGGGCTCCCTGCTCCTCAAGAAGCCTGCTTCTTCCTCTCCAACTCCCCCTGCTTGTGTTCCCTCTCTCACTGTGTCTCGCTCTGTCAGATAAATAAATAAAATCTTTTTTAAAAAAATGCAAATCTCGCACTCACTGGCTTCCAGTGAAGATCAAGATAGGGTCCTATCCCACCGTCTAACACTGAGAAACGCCTTGGCTGTGAGCTGTTTATCTCCCAGAACATGCTGCATTCTTTCATACCTCTATGCATTTCTCATTTGTCCAACTCTTGTCCTACACTGCCCGAAAGCTCTCCTCTTCTCGGAGAGCCTCTTACAATACCTTCAGGATCCAATTCAAATGTCACTACTTCAAGAGAGCCACGGATACATCTCTCAGTGGCTCTTCTATCTGGCCTCCCACAGTACTGGATACACACCCCTAATGAAGCATGTGTCACAACTTACACTAACACCTTAACAGGTTTATCTTCAGTGATCTATGAGCTCCTGTTCACCTCTGAATCCTAGTGCGTAGCACAAGGCTTGGCTCCTGCCAGGAAGTCAGTGAGCGTCTCCTGAATCAAAGGACCCGCGATTGAGGTCTGTAGCGATGTGGTAAAATGACCGAAGCATGCTATCAAAAGGCAAAAACTGCTTTTTTGTTAACTACAAAGTGAATCAAGGTGCCAGAAAAGTTAAAACAAGGATGAAGAATGCTTTTATCTCAACCGACTTTTAAATTACTCATCACATCTGTCCTAGCTAAAGACTAACTGTCGTCAGCCTCCCGCAGCCTGTTAGTCAGACTGTTTCACACTTGGGCACCAGATCCTGCAAAATGTTCAATGATCACAGAAGAAATACTTAAAGAAAAGCTATTGGGCTTTTAAATGTAAAAAGATGCCCAGTAAGAGCATTTGCTAAATATCATTTCCCGTTTGGTACATTAGACCACAATATCGGACACATGGCTTGGGTCATACTGCACACAATGTCCAATATCTACGGTGGCAGTTACCGCAGGAGGAGGACAGTGAGGCTGTTCTTTCTTTACTCCTTCATTCATTCACAGACAACTGCTGGTCAGCCCCCACGTGCTGTGCTCTGGAGAAGCTAGGACAAGAGTGGGTCCCCGAGATTCCAGGCTTTCTACGAGGGAGATGGCTTACTACAAACCGGTGTCCTGGACTTGTATCATTAAGCAGTTACTATTTAAATTCAGCCTGGTTCCAAAAATGTTCTCAAGTTCCCCTTGCACTTAGCAGGTCACAGGTTACCCTGGGTAACCTCAAGAAGGCTGCTAGGCATTCTAATCCAGCTAGATGGTCGTGCTGGGCACAGCCTGTCTCCCCGCAGGTACGTTCAAAACGCCGTGTTTAGGTAAGTCCACCACTGCTCTAATTCCCCTATGTGTCGGGTTTTGTTGAAAGAGCATTTTCTGGGAAAGAAAAGATTTAGATGAAGGCAGGAGATGAGTAAAAGCTGAGCTCATGCTACAACCCAAACTCTCGGCATTTTGGCGACGTGGTGTTAGGGCACGGGGTGGGGGGGGGGGGGGGGTCTCTGGGTACCCTCCCTACAGTGGTGGTGGAAAGAAAAGCTTCCAGAGCAAATCCAGTCGGGGAAAGACGCAAATCCACCGCATTTCGAGCGGCTCCTGGAGGCTTCCTCTAGGCAGGGTACTAGGGGAGCTCAAGCCTAACTCTAATCTAACAAACCCCATTACAAATAACCGACCTGCCGAAGACACAGCTGCTCCCCTAGCCCCCCGCCCCCCGCCCCGGCTGCCCCAGACGGTCGCTTCCCGGTTCCCAGCAGACTCGGGAGCGCGGCGCCCACCTCGACCCCACCCCGGCCCCACCCGGGCCCCGCCGGGCCCCCCAGCCCCCACGCCCACCCCGGCACCACCTATCGCAGCCCCGCCCCGCGCGGCCCCACGTGCAAGGCCCCACCCCGGCGCCCGCGGCCCTTTAAACACCCCCACCCTTACACATCACCACCCGCCCCCCGCCGCCCGGACGGCAGCCGGAGAGGGACAAAACTCGTGGCGTACGGCCAGTCTCCTCCGCGGATCACGTCCCGGGCAGCCCGGCGCGAGGGGGCCCTCCGCCCCCCGGCCGCAGCCCCTGGCGCCCCCCAGCCCCCGGCGGCCGGGCAGGGGAGTGCGGGGCGGGGCCGGCGGCCGCGCGGATCTCCGCCGCCGCCCTCGCCGCCGCCGCCGCCGCCTGCCGCTCGGGCCGCCCGCTCGCCCGCCGCTGGGTGCGCTGCACGCGGGGGGCAGCCGCGGTGCAGAGGTTCATGCAGCGGCGGCGGCGGCGGCGGCGGCTGCTGCTGCTGCTGCTGCTGCCGCCGCGGAGGCAGACAGACCGGGCGCCGCCGCCGCCGCCGCCGCCCTCCCCCGGCTCCATGCCGCCGCCGCCGCCGCCGCCGCCGCCGCCTCCTCTCCGGCGAGGGGCGGGGGGCTCCGGCCCCGGGTGGGCACCGCTCCGCGCAGCGCCGCTCCCCGCTCTGCCCTCGGCGGGGGCGCCCGCCGCCTCCTAGGAGCGCACGCTCCGCGCGCCCTGCCGGAGAGAGAGGGGGCGGGCGTGGGCGGGGGCCGGCGGGCGGGCGTCGGGGCGGCGGGGACCCCGCGCGGCGGCCGGAGGAGGGGGCTTCCCGGGAGGATGCCCGGCGGCGGCTGCCCGCTCCCAGGCGCGAGCTGAGCCGGACCGGGAGCTGGCGGCGCGTCGCCATGCCGGCGTGACGGGCGCCCCCGGCTGCCCGCGCGGGCCCCCGCGCTGCCCCACGCCGCGCCGCGCCGGCGCCGGGCGGCAGGATGGGCTGTATCCAAAGCATCACCTGCAAGGCGCGGATCCGGCGCGAGAACATCGTGGTGTACGATGTGTGCGCCACCATCGACCAGTGCCCCACGCGCATCGAGGAGACCTCGCCCATCGTCCTGCGCTACAAGACCCCCTACTTCAAAGCCTCGGCCCGCGTGGTCATGCCCCCCATCCCCCGCCACGAGACCTGGGTGGTGGGCTGGATCCAGGCGTGCAACCAGATGGAGTTCTTCAACACCTACAGCGACCTGGGCATGTAAGCGACCGGCGGCGCGGAGCCGGAGCGGGGTCCCTGGCCCCGTCCCTCCTCCCCACCCCGACCCTCCTCCTCAGCTCCTGCTTAGCGCTCTCCCCATCCTCTTTCTAAACCTTCCTCCCGCCTCCTCTTCCACCTCCCTCCTCCCTGCGCTTTTGTTTCAGTGACAGGGCGGGTGTAGGGAGGCTCCTCGCGAAGGCATTTTCTCGTGGTTTGCTTCTGACTCCCCGTGAACGCGAGGAGGAGGGCGCGGGGCGGCGAGAACGCGACAAGGAGGGTTCGAGAGACGGGCGTGGGGGTGGCTGGCGAGTGCCCTGGGAGTTTCGGGGAGCCGTCTGGGCTTGATGGGGCTTCCCGGGAAGAGTTTGGGGGGACCTGTGGAGAGAGGAGTGGAGTGGAGCGCCGGGGGCGCACCGGCTGTGCCGCGCGTCCTTTGGAAAAGCCCGAGAGGGCTTGGAGGAGAAGGTCCCGGGCGTCCGAGCGGGACTTGCTGGTTCTGCCCCTGTTCCCTCCGCTGTTGAATTCGAGCCCTCGTGCCCCAGGCCGGGAAGGCTGCAGGCGTTTCCCTTCGGAGCCGCAAGCCCGGCGGAGCCGCCTCTCTGGCTCGGCGCCCTCTGGACGAGTTGTGCGGCGGTGGGGAGCGGGCAGGCACCTTGTGCGAGCGGTCTGGGGCTGGCGCGGCGCGGGGTTTTCCTTGTGCTCCGGGCAAGTACACGTCTCCTGGCTGTCCAGGGTCCTTACTTGCTCCAGAACTTTACTAACTGCGGCGCCGGGAGGGATTCCCCAGCGCCCACCGGCGAATCCAGTCGGCGAGCTGGGAGCTCTCCAACTTCTTTCAGCAGCGCTGCTCGGTGCGCGCGGGGCTGGGCGGCTGCGGGGAGACCCAGCACCGCGGCGACTCCGCGGCCGCCACCCGGAGTCCGCAGCCTGCCCCAGAGCCCCAGGCTGCGGGCTGTCGCGCCCAGGACTTTTTAGTTACTCACTTTGCTTAACTCCCCGCCAGCCTCCTTGCAGAAACCGACTCTGAGCGGTTGGCGACCACAGTGGCTAAAAGGTTTGGGGCCTGCATTCTACCTGCGCTACAGTGTTGGTCTGGAGCACTTAGCCTGCGGCCTCTAGAGAAACCCTCTTCTGGAAATCCAGCCTCATTTCATTTATTAACCGGGGACTCTGGAGCTCCCAAGGTTCATCCATTGAATATATGGGGAAGGGAGTTGATTTTGAAAGGCCAAACGATCTTTTTTAAATGGCAGCTTGCAGGGTTTTTAACTGCACTCTGAGGGCGTGTAAGTTAACACTAGTCATGGGTGCTAAAAGAGATTTTGACAGGTTGTTTTGTTCTCCCTGCCTTCCCCTCAAAGAGTTTGAACTTTTCTCTTTAAGCATAAAAGCTGAGGGCTGGAGAAGGCCCATTCCTAGTGAAGATGTGCGAGAGCCTAGTTTCTTCCTATATGCCTCTGTTCACTGTGTTCTTATCTTTCTGGAAGACAGCTGGATGTAAGAAATGGGGGACATATTATTTTGGGTGAATCATGCCATTTAAAAACACACACCCTCCAAAGGATGATTATATCTGAACACATGGGTCTCTTAAAGCTGTTCTTTTAGAAACCCATTATTTCCAGCGAAGTCAGAGCAAGCCCCACACCAGGCAAAGGCCTTCCCTCTTGTCCTGGCCCTGATGGTGGTGTACACCTTGCCCGGGTGGGCGGGGACCGGAGCAGTAATTGCAGTCTGGGGCCAATGCAGAGGAGGCCAGGAGGGACTGAGCATTTTTCCCCGGACTACACAGCCAGGCCTCCCTGTTGCTTTATATCTCTTGTGAATCAGTAAATCAAAAGCAAACAAATAAATAATTTCTTTCCGTAAAAGAAAACATATCCCACCTCAGGAAAAGCTGAGTTGAGATATAAACAGACATAGTAGTCAAACATCCTTGAATCTGGGGGACAGAGTGTCCACCGTGGAACCAGCTTCAATGGGGATGAACTGGTGTTGGGTCTGAGGGGCACTTATTCCCTGATGTTTCCTTGCTGAATTCTTGCCTCTGGGGCTTGGAAAAGAGCTTTGCTTTTCAACTGCTACTATCAGTATTTTAAGATTCTCAGTGTTCATATTGATGCAGGGAAGCAAAACAGTGCCCAAGATATCATGAAGCATATAATTGGAGATCTGGGTCCAGAGTCCACCTGTTTTCATGGTTGCAGTAATTGCTATGTTTAAGCATACTCTGGAGCCCAAATTGGATTGAACCCATCTCCACAAAATGTGTATGCCCTGAAAACTTAGCCAGGACAAACTTTTTAATGGGACCTCATATTGCATGGAAGTCTTCACAATCTGTTGGTTATTACCCACTTTAGCCAGTATCTGGAGTGGGGGGATAAAAAATACCACAGGCTGAATTTTCACCCCTCTGCAATGCTCTTGTTACATGAAGCAAGACATGATCAGAGGGTATAGGTTAGAAAGCTGCCTTTTCAACATTTTAAAAGGGACTGCCAGAGGAAATCCATAATTTAAAATGGCAAGAAACTTCTAGTGACAGGCTTAAAAGAAAACATGAGCTTTTGTGGGTTAAAGTTTCAACATATCCAAGAAGGAGTAGGTTTCTGAAGGAGCATTTGAAACAGTTGATGATCATGATGGCCGGAGCTTAATTTGAACTTGAACTCAAGTGACTTGGAACATTCTCACATGATTGCATAGAACCCAGGCTGGTGAATACTTATGTCCTCTATTTATTTCTCCTTTGGCCCTGGTGAACCCCGCTAATGCAGCCCTGGTCCAAGTCTTCATTTTTCCGGGAATGAAGGGCCTCTGGTTTTTCGTCAATCATCCCATCAATAAACAAATATTTATCAAGCGCCTCTCAGGTCTGGGCACCAGCAAAGAAAGCAAAGGACCAAGCAGGCAGCTTCATAGTTCCTCAGTGTAGGAGGGAGGGACACAGGCAGAACAAGCCTTTGCTCCCAAGCAGTATAGGAGAAATCTGGAAAGAGGGGTGGGAAGCCAGGCAGGGTTTTCTAGAGGCAGAAGGACTGGAACTGGATGTGAGCAATGGATAAGATTCAGCTAGACAAGGAGGGGGACTCATTCTAAGAGGGAAGAACAGCAAATATATGGGGGCAGGAAAATATAAGGTGTCTTAAGAGAGCATAAGTAGGCCAGAGTGGAGCTTTCAAGTAGGAGAGCAGTGGGAGATGAGGTCCGAAGGCAGGCCAGGGTCTGTTGGGAAAGGCCTAGGATAATATGACCTGGAAAGGAGAAGGTTGAGGTCAGGTCTTCTGAACCAGCGTGGAGAGGCTCTTCCTACTTTCTTCATACCTCTGGGCCATGCAGGGGCTTTTCAACAGAGACATAAAACCTCTGTGATGGAACAGTTTTGAATGCTAGAGTATGCCACCCAAGAGGTTTCCTGAGTGAGGTTTGAACAAAGAGTGGGGTTCATGTGTCAAGGATGAATGAGGTGAAGCCGAGGTCAGAGGGAGGACAGGCCGTGGCTAAAGGCCCTCCCCACTCTCTCTGAGCCCATGTGTGTCATCTTCTGGAGCTGTAAGGGAATTGTGGTCAGCCCAAGGCTGGGAGACCCTTGGCCTGGGTGAAATTTGCGGAGGTCAGAGCTCACTCCCGCCTGTCCCTACTCCTCCTTGGGAGTCAGTGTTGATGAGAAGTTGACACTACCTGCCCACCTTTGTTGCCTGTTCAGTCCAATCCAAGCTGGTTTCCATCCATTCCAGAATTGTTCTGGCTCAGTTTGTGACTTCCATGTTACCAATCCAGCAGATGCTTTTGAGAGACACTCGCTATTTCAGCAATATTCCGCATAGTCGACAGCTTCCTCCATCTTGAATCACTCCCATCTTTTAGCTTGATGCTATTTTTCTAGCTGTTTCTCTGTCTTACCTCAGAGTACAGTTCATGAGGACCTTACTCATTGGATCCTCTCCCCGGGTAATTTTATCCTTCCCCATGGCAATCGATACTCTGTGTGATGCGCAGTCACCTGCGGCATAGGGTGTGTGTGTGTGTGTGTGTGTGTGTGTGTGTGTGTGTATGTATCGGTCGGTGTACGATTTCCCCTTTGGCTGTCTCAAAGACATCTCAAGCTTAATGTACCCAAACCGGAACTCTTGACTGCCACTCCAGCTCCCTCCCCAAATCTGCATCTCCACCGATCTTCCCCCATCTTGGTAAAGAACATCTCCAGCCCCTGAGCTGCTCAGGCTGAACCATCTGTGTGTCATCCTAGATAGTTTCCCACACGTCCAGTCCATCATCAAACCCCCCTGGTCCCGTCTCTGGGATAGCTCTGTAATCCAGCCACCACTCTGCGTCCACTCATACCCTCACAGGGAGGTCGTCGTCAGCTCTCACCTGCTCCAGCAGAGGATATCCAGCCAAACTTCCCACCTTCATTCTTGCCCTCCCTCCAGTCTCTTCCCCACACAGTGGCCAAGTGATAGTTTCAAAACGTAAATGTTACCACTTTCCTGCTTAAACTCTTTTACTGACTTTTCATTGTAAAAGGTAGAAAATGTGAAGGCCTCATCCCAGTCTCCGAATTTTCTGTTCTTAAGCCGTGTCAACCTGTTTCCACTTCTAAAAAAAAAAAACAAAACAACAAACAAAACAGCTTCCTTGTCCCAATTCAGAACTTTTCCTTGTGCTGCTCTCTGTCTGAAATGCTTTTCTTGCCCACCCTTTTCTAGCACATTCCTACTCCTTATTCAGGCCTAAACCATTACCTCCTCAGAGGCCACCCGGATTTCACAGTTTAAATTAAGGTTCTTCTGTTCTCTTGAATGAGACACTATTCTTTTACTTGTTATAGTTTGTAAGAATGTAATTGTATGTTTGTTTAACACCTGACCCTTCTGCTAGAATATAAGCCCCATGAAAGCAGATATTCTATCCATCTTATGCCCTATGAATGGTGCTTAGCTCCTACCAGGCCCTCCATAAACATCTGAAAAATAAATGAGCCATTTTTTTCGGACCTCGAATAGTCTGTGTCATCTTCAACAAATCATGTCTGTCTTCAAAATCAGCTTTTTTTTTAAAGACTTATTTTTTATTTGAGAGAAAGAGAACACACGGGGAGAGGCAGAGGGAGAGGAAGAATCCGAAGCCGACTCAGCGCTGAGCACAGAGCCCAACACGGGGCTTGATCTCACAACCCTGAGATCACAACCTGAGCTGAAACCAAGAGTCGGATGCTTCACCGACTGGGCCCCCAGGGGGCCCCTCAAAATCAGCTTTTCCTATCACACCCAAGGCTAACCCGACCAAGCTCTTGAACTCTAGACGTCCCAGCTGTCGCTTAACACATACACAGTGTAACGCCGCTATGCTTTTGGGTCATTTCGTTCTGCGTTGCCCCGGCAGATCCACTGCTCCTCAGCGCAGGGCTCCCATCTGTCACTTCCTCTGCCTCCAGGTCTGTGCACGAGGAGCCGTGTTCAGCAAACACCCAAACCTCACTTTCGCGTTACCTGTGATCAAGTGGCATTCGGTGTCTGCCCAAGGAGAGGCAACCCGGAGACCATGTCATAGCACCGTTCACCTGCATCACTGACCCGTGGTCTGAATCTCAGGACTGTGGGTGCTAGTACCCCGCTCTTTCAGGTCATTTCCCCCAAAGCTAGCAGTTTCCTTTGTGACCATGGCTGCGGCTGCCTGCACGTGCGGTATGGCTTTGCATGTGGCCCTCCTCAGTCATAGAGATACCTCCTTCAGGCATCTGATGAGCCCCCAGGCCACTTGCACCAACACCCACCCTCCCCCCCCCCCCCGTTCCCATTACAGCCCCGGATGGGGGGCTCATGACCTGGAAGGGGCTAGAGCTGCACTTCACCAGAAATGTCAGGGACTCCCAGTCGAGAGCATGAGATGAGAAACAGGATCCACTTCCCTCATGAGAGTCCTGAGTGCCCTTGAAGGGGAGCTGGCCTCACCCTTTGCCTCTAATCTTCTCCATCTCGGAGAGGAGGAGTGGCGGAGGATTAGCAGGTCTTATCAGGAAGCATTAAGCTCACTGGAGATAAAGCACAACCCTGGGGCTGGAAGGGATGGGAGGACCCAGAGGGGACGTCAGGACAAGGGTTAGGAGGGGAGTGAAAAATGAAACGCGGCTCGTGTAACCCAGATGCTACAATTCAGCCGGGCACTGGGTGGATGGGGACAGCAGGGTGTCAGTGACCGTCCACCAGGCAGCAGAGGCAAAAAGCTGTCTGCAGGTGCTTCGTGTTCCGGGTGAAGAGAGAAAGCTGGCGATTGGGTAGGGGACTGCAGACTCCAGTGCGGGGCACAAGATCCCAAATATCCCTTGCCCTCCGATTTGTCCAGCACTCGGATCTTGGCTGACCCTCCGCCGACCCTGGGAGCTCCATGCTGTCGGTGTGCCCATCTTCCTGAGGAGAAAACTGAGGCTCACGGAGGTCAGAGGACATGAGGGCACAAGCCTAGCTGGTGGCGGCGCGGGGACTGGCTTCGGACCCCGTACCCTGCCTGTCTGTGTGCTGCCATGGCTCAGCCCGGCAGTGGTGGAGACCGGCCAGCACCCCATTCCCAGCAGCACTAGAAAACCTCGCCCTTACGGCTGCTGCGGCCTGGGGCCTCCTGGTGCTTCGCTCCTTGAGGAGGGGCTTGGGTTGCCCCGCGGCCCCGGGTGGCTGATGCGGCCGCTTGGGTCGCTGATCACAGAGGCGCTGCCTTTTCTGATGTGTTAACACTAAACAGGCCCTGAGAAGTGGCCGCCGTTTATGAATGGCTGTCACGAGAAGAGAAATGACGCGAAGTCAGCGGTAACCGTTCGGGTGACCACTCCCAGCCAGGCAGGGCCCGCGTGGTGCCGGGGTCCCTGGGAGGGGTTGGGGCGCACACGCCAGCTTCAGAGAGACCCCCACATGGTATTGGGGGAGCCGCCTGCCGTTCTCACCGGGACTCCCAAATCAGCGAGGTACCCTGGAGTTGTCGCAGTGGGTTTTAGAAAGAGGGGTGCCTGTGTCCAGGTGGCGGGAGAACCGTCCGCATCCAGGAAAGCCTCCCGAGTCTGGGAGGTGCGCCACTGAAGGGCCCCAAAGGGAGGTGAAGGAGATGACCTGAAAGGTCTCGGTGCCGGCTGCTTTCCACACAGGGCCCCCCGGCACATCTCAGCAGCCAGGGGGGCTACTCCTGTGGCAGTGAGGTTCAGTAGCTGGCCCGGGGCCTCAGCCGGCCAGCAGCCCCGCCAAGAGCCCAGGCCCCGGCCACCCCTGTCCCCCTGCTCTTTCTAACCCGCTGCCTTCTCTCCTAGGAAGGAGGCGCTCAGAACTCGCTCTGCAAAATATCGCTGTCCCTCTACGGTTCCCTAGTCTTTTCCAAAACGGTCCTAGCTGTAGCGTGTTTCTCTGATTCGTGTGTTTCCTCACTCCTTCGGAAATGGAGAGAGTTGTTCTGAGGTCAGGGGCGTGGACGTCTCGGAGCTCCCGCTGAGAGTGGTGGTAGACATTTGCAGCGACAGCAGCTCTTTCTGGGGGGTGGGGGGGACAGAGAAGGCAGCCCCCAGCTCTCAGGGACCCCGAGCCGGCGTCTGGGCTGCAGATTTGAGCCCTGGGCCGCCTCCTCCAGGAGCTTCCTTGGGGGTCCCATGTCAGCCCTGATGGTCACCAGCAGATAGTGACCCAGACCCCCCAGCTCCTGGACTTCAGAGTCTGTTCGTCCCTCAGATTCTCCAGACCATCGCTGTTTGGACAGATGATCGGGAAGAGAAAGAAGACCCACTTCTGGTGGCAGAAGGACGGACATCCCTCTGGCTCCTGGGAATTCTGGTACTGTTGTTCCTTTCCCAAGGCCGCCTCAGGCCACCATGTTAGCCCTGCGGACCCTTCTCCCTCATTAGGCTCCGGTATGCTAGCCGGATGGAACCAGCGGCTCACGGTGCCGGCTGAAGATAGAGCCGCTGGCTCCCCAGCGCCGGGGTTCAGGTCAGAAGACCTGGGTTCGAGCGCCAGTCATGTGACCTTTAGCAGATGCCTTAACAATTCGGTGTCTGCTTTGCACGCACGTCACTGGGCGATGAAATCTGTCCTGTCGCCGTCACTGGGGGGTAAAGACCGTGAAAGAGCTCTCCGCACTGAAATGTGCCGTGCACGCATTATTGTTATCATGATGGAACGTGACTCTTGTCACTAGAGGATGACTCTCAGTCAGCTTCAAGGAACAGGGAGGTCACGGCTGTGGCCCTGGGGCTTCCGGGCAGAAAGGCGTTCAGACTCTGAGGATGAATGGGTCCCAGACGGCTCAGCTGCTGTTCCCTGGCCCTGCTCAGAGCCAGAGGGGAGGAGAAAGGCTGGCTTTGCCCACAGGGAGCCAGGGCTGTTTTCCACACATACTCAGGGGTGGGTGGTGGCTACCCCTCGTCCCACCCAGAAGTCACCCTCCCAGATCTGCTCTGAGCTGTGGGCTCTGGGTGGCATGCAGGACCCTGAGCACTTCCAGTTCCTGGACAGGATGCCTGCAACTCAGCCATATCCTCGCGGGGACTCCCCACCCTGTCCCGGGCCCTCCTGAGGTGACAGTGTCAGTCAGATGAGAAGCCTAGGACTTGGGGACGATTCTAGAGCGTGTAAGCCATGCTGTTCCAGCTCCAGAAGGAGCCGTAAGCTGCAGACTTCGCAACCCAGGTGGACAGATGGGACCAATGAAATGATTTGCATCCAAATTATTGTTAATATGTCTGCTGTCATAAATATATTTTATTCTCTCCATATAAAATGATTTTGTCTCTTTATAAGAAGTCTTCACATAATTAACCAGACGATAATCATGAAACATATTTAGAGCAACCATTCCCATTTTACATGGGTAAGTGGAGGCCCGAAGAGACGAAAGAGTGTGCTCAAGGTCACCCTGGCAGGCCTGGGGCCCAGGCCTCTCAACTCCTCCCTAGTCCCTCCCTGTGCCAAGTGCACAGTCGGCCGACCCCAGACAGGAGCTGGGGACAGGAGCGGTCATCCTTAGAGCCGTGCACATTGGGCACCTCCGGGCCAGTCAGGATTTGTGGCCTCTAAAGACAAGAGAGGGCAGATAGGAACATCCCAATGTATTCAACAGAAGCAAAGAGAAATGTGCAGTCTGTCAGATTACAGTGAAATAAATAAGACCGTGGTGTCTGAGGGCACCTCAGTGGGGTTTCTGGGACAGGCCTGCCTCAGAAAGCCTCTGGCTGGAGCTTTCTCTTGGGGCCTGACCTTTCCAAGCTGGCTTTGGGCCTGTGCCAGGCTGGGGTGCTCAGAGGCTGTCAGAGGTCTGGCTAATGGGGAGTAATAAACCAGCATCCTCGGTCAGCATCTTGAAGGGCAGGTGGGCTGAGGAGGTCGGGGCTTCTGGGCATGAGTGGCGGCCGAGTCATGCCTTGGCAAGTTGGGAATGGCCAGAAACAGGCCAATGAGATGTTGCTTTGCTCTTGGCATGGGGTAGGGGACCGGGGTCAGGTGCTGGGGTGTGTGGGGACCACGAGGCTGGAAGGGGACTCAGGCTGGTTCTGGGAGAGCAGGATGCCGCCCTGTCTTCCTCCTCCTGAGGACCACCAGCTGAGCCTCCATTCCCAATGGCAGCATCCACACCTGAGGCTGGGGGACTCAATTCAAAACCAGATTTTTTTAAAGGGACTCAAATAATTGAAAATCTGTTTCAAACGTTCATGAATAACCTTCACATTTTGTTAAGAAATTTGTGTCAGAAAACTAAACCCACACTCCCAAGATGTCTTCATGGCCTCTGGAGCCAAGGAGCCTGTCTGGTGCTGGGCCCCATGTGGGCTTTAAGGAGGGAGCAGGTATTTGCCTATTGTCTGTATCCCCATGAGGCCATAAGCAGCTTACTCAACGATACTCAGCCATTTGTTGAACACGCATTTCATGCTAAATGTGCCGTGTGCACATCTGTGAAGTGAGGCTGTTACTTTCCCCGAATTGGAGATGAAGAAACTGAGGCCCGAGAGGTTGACTAACTTGCCTGGCATTGCCCAGCTAATCGGTGACAGCCAGGATTAGAAACCAGGTTTCCAGAGACTCCGTGACGTTATGCTGCCTCATTAAGGGGTGAGTGAATGAATGAACCAATAAATGGATAAGGGGGGGGCTCAGGATATTGCCTGAGCACTTACTTTTGTCCTTCCTGAGCAAACCTGGGGAACAAAGGGTTTAATCAGATTGGAAATAGCCAGCCTCCTCGCCTCCCAGCTGGTTTGCTCAGCTGGTCAGGACATGACGTTAATGAGACTGGGGTCTTGGGGTCGGACCCAAGGGACCCTCTCAGCACCTGAGTTTGCATTCTTTACCCTGCCAGCTACCAGCTACCAGTCACAGCAGAGTCTAGATTCAAGAGAAACACCCAGAAAAGTGTAGGTAGTGGGTCAGCAGAATCATCCATGAGTCGCAGAATGTTAAGGCAATGTGGGAACTCATGAGCCCCCTGCTCATCTTAACAGATGGTGACCCCGAAGCCCAGAGAGGGGCCATGACACAGCCAGTGACCCAAGTCCTTCCGACTCCGGGTACCCCAGTCCGTAAAGTAGTAATTGGGTCACCACATCCTATTGTTTCATCCCTGCCCCCACCATCCCATTCCCTGTTTGCTGATTGTCCAGGTTTCTGGGCAGAGATGCCCAAGAGAGGAAGCAGCCCAGAGTCCAGGAAGGGCCTGGCCCTCGGCAGCACAGGGAGGAACTCACATCAGCCCAAGGGATGTCTACACAGTTGCCAGGAGCAGAGAGACCAGCCTCTTCCCAGTGTCCATAGACAGTGATTAGCATGCAGGAAAGGCGAGGGTTTCCCCAGAGGTACCCATCACAGGTGGCAGGAAATGGGAGGGTTTGGCAGCTGAGGGAGGAGGGATGTGTGGAGAACGTGAGATTCTGCCCGGGTGCCCAGCAACTCAGAATCCCTTTCCCTTACCTCCCCACCTCCCTCGTACTCAGGGCCATACATGGGCCCCCGGCCCCCCCTGCCCACACTCAGGCAAGGTAGCTTCATGGCCCCTGGCAGGTCCAGAAGAAACAAGATCCAAGTGGTGTCAAAGGTGACAGATTGTGAGGGGCCGGGGGCCCTCCCCTGACAGCAGGGCTCAGCTGGGAGGCTCCTGGGGAGCAGAGCAGATGGGGCAAGTCTGAGAGGGATATCCTAGCAGCCTGGAGACTCTGTTTCTGTTGTGGCTTTTACTTGGGTTTCTCTCCATTTTTTGTTTCTTATATTTTGTTCACTTGGAGCCTTTTAGCCCAGGGCATGATCTAAGTGTGCTGGCTGCTTACTCTCAGTCAAGAAGGGAGGGGCGGAGGGGAACGGAAGCAGCCGGTCAAGATCAACACCCAGCTTGGTGGGATTTAAGGGGGGTCTAAAGGAAGGACGGCAGAGGGGCCATGTGTGCCTCCGAGCAGCCTGTCACCTCGGCCCATCTGGTGACTCCAAAGCTCTGTCTTCACACCACTGCAGGATGCCCATCATGAGGCCTCTGGAAATTCTGAACAACATCAAGTGGTCTGCCCCCCCCTGACACGGTCCTGTTCCAGCCTGGGCCTCCCTCTCAAAACTCGCACGGGGACCCACCTCTGGCCCTCCCTGGAGGACGAGGTACCTTCAGATCTCCTGGCCTAGTTTCAAGTCCCTGTCCCTGTCTACCATGTGCACCATCTCTCTGTCCATGTCACCATTGCCCTGCCTGGTTTCTGGCCCTCTGCTCATCTTGGGCCAGTCACCCTGTCAGGCTGCTGGGCCTTAGCCAGATGCCTGCCCCTGGCCCCTGTCCTCCTGGGTCCTCTCTGTCGGACTCCCTCTCTTTCTCTCTGAGGTAGGACCGAGAAATGCAGAGAGGTTCCCAGCCAGAGGATCATGCTGTCCTTTGCCCTGGGAGGCCGGGAGCCACCCTGTCCTCCTTCGCATACCCTCTAAGCCTGCACTCTTTCTCTCATGGAGGGTGGGGGTGGGGTGGGGGGTTCAAAAGCCACGGAACGATTTTTATAAAGAAAACTGTTTGTGACTTACAGGGGCAACTAAACTAGAGTTCTGGAAGTCTGGCAAGGCAGCTGGAACCTGGGCCAGACCAGAGGACCTGGGACATCACAGAGTGGGTGGACCAGGGAGGGGGCGGACTGATGCTCCAGCCTCCAGGGCCGGGCCGCTCACAGAGGTCTGTCGCAGAGGGATGGGGTAATGAAAGAAGTTGAAGAACATGGTTCACTGCCCTTGTCCTCTTGGCGGCCATCAGAAAGGCCTGGGTGTCAAGAGCAGACCCTAAGATTGGGAAAGAGGACGATTGATGGGGTGTGGACAGGGCCAAGGGAAGCCACAGACAGCCGGGTTCCTGCCCAGCGAGGCCAAACTCTTAACGTTTTGTCCGGCCCTGCCTTCCCGGGGGGTGAACTTAGGAGACCCAAGCAGGCCTGGCGCTGATCTCACCCCCACCCCGATGCCAAAGAACAGCCCCCCTCAGCCTTCTCTGCTGAAAGCCCCCAGGGTAACAGTCTCTGGTCAGGTAGCTGAGCCGAGCGGCCCCAACTAAGGGGTGCCTGAAATGGAAGGGAGGGTTGGGGCTGGGCACCCCGAGGCGGCCCCTGCTGTGGCGAAGGTGCATCCTCCTGCACTGTCTCTTCTTCTCTCAGATGTCTCAGAGAGAGGTCATCTTTTCAGGGCCTGGGTCCTCCAGAGCATCTCACCATCTGGGTGTACGTGGGGGGCCACTGAAGACTCTCAGAAATGGGGCTGTTGCATGATGAGACAAAGGGTCAGACCTGAAGGTTGCCTAGAAGGGGTCATTGTGCAGATTTGGAGCT